TATATATATGTAAAATAATGAAGGTCAACGCGTTCGAATGATGGAAGTGGTCGGTTAATACGGAGAGGTGTGAAATATATTAAAGAGAGGAGTAAAGATAAAATAAGATTAGATAAGAAAAGGGAGAATAAACGAGTAAATGATCAAAAACTAATGATCTTTACAAAAAACAGTTCTAAGTGAATAAATGTGTTACAATAGAAAGCGAATTCATTCGATAATTGAATAAGAACGATAATTATAATAATGATAATCAAACACCAAAAACTTGTTATAACAGCCTTATGCAAACGAATAGAAGCAATATTTTCCTTATGGGTAATAAACGAACGGAACAATTAATGATTAATGTTCCCTTAGATCACTATCTTTCTCCTCCTTTTCCATCTTATTAGAAATCTTTTGTTTTTTTCGATCATTCTTCACATTTGATTGTTTCGTATGATATTACAATGCTTTATGTTATAATATCGATATCATATTACAGGTTGTATCAAACGAATAATTTATAGTCATATATGCACTAGGGACTGTTTAATTCATAATATTCGATATGAAATGAACATATTAAGTTATCGAATATTCTTTTGTATACGGTGAATAACGTATTTGAAATATTTATTGCAATAATAAGTATTATTAAATAAGTAAAATTTGTGAAGTATTGTAATATGGTGAATATAAAATAATTTATTCGCTTCTTTGTTTTTTGTAACTAACATCTCATGAAACATTCAATATGTGTTCTCAATTGAAGAGCATATTATTTCAGTTGGCTATCTTTTACAAAGCTGTTCTGTATAATATCATACAAACGGTTCAATAAATCGCTATTTGATGAATATTCGATATTGTTTCTGATATCGGGGCTGAATTAGGTAAACGGCTAGGTTAAAAGTACTTAAATGGATTGATCATTGTCGAGATCGGTAACTTGATATTATCTTGACAATTGGATTATTAGATTGATCATCAGATGAGTGAATGACGGACTCATAAATAAATGGTGTGCGCAGTAACAATTCATTGACCTGGTGAAAGGTTTGATATTGATATGATTAGCTGTGATAGGATATGATAAGACATGATATGATGTAATATAGCAATTGTCGGGGGCGTCAGCAAGAGGAGCGATCGAATGATGCAAAGAACGATGCATCTTTTAGATTTATTCATCAATACAAACGTCAACTGAAACAATCGTTTTGAAAAGACTGTTTTGTTAATTGTTTATTCAATTGCACTCGAAAAATTTTGATGGTAATAATAATAATAATAATAATAATAATAATAATAATAATAATAACCAATATTAAGCGTACTATTGCAAGGCGGTAACATTGCTCTCATTAACTAATACGATATGATATGCATTTGGATTAGTTATCAAATCAGAGTGTGATTGATTATGATCATTCTGTTTCGCAGATCATTCTTGTTATCATTATTATTGCTATCGTCATTACTATTACTATTTCTAATATTATTATCGCTTCTAGTTTTTTTATAGATGAAATTCTGGATTGAATTCTTTTAACAAATGAACAAATTTGACGAGATAATGTTTGATGATGTATCATTGATACTGATATTTATATTATTATGCTCATGATCAATTTGGTGCTATTTATAAACTTTTTATTCATTCACTTCCAGTTCATTTGTTTGGCTCAACTTGCTGCTGGTAAAGGTATGTATATTATTATTACGTTACTTTTTATTATTATTTCACTTTTATAGTGATTATCCTTCTTATTGAAACGATTCTCACTTTTAATAACCCTTTTTTATGTCACTACTTAGGTAAATGAGTTTTATTCTTTATGATTTCTATTGTGTTTTCGTGTCTTCGTAGAAAGATTCTACTGACTTTTGGATGACTGATTCACTGAAAACACATTTATTACGATTATGTCATCATCAAATAATAAATATTGAATCAATGCTAAGTTGAGATTTACGTTACATGTGTTCAGCTTCAGGGATAGCTTGTTCAAACGAGGGGGAACGGGTTGATGTAGCAAAATTGACACGGGGAATGGTTACATCGCCCTGCTATCAATGCGTTTGCAAGGTACTTCTTATTATATCTTGCCCGTTCACTTTCTATTATTATAACATCAGCATTTCACTTATCATTCCTTCCAATCTTCCTCTCTCTTATTT